ACATTATAAACATCACAGGGACTTGAGCTCAGTCAGTCTTGCTATGTATTGTAAAAGCACGCCCCCTACCGTCTCTCCGCTGGGCTGCACCCTGCTGCTTCTATCAAAGGTTTCCCTAACCTTCAATGGACCATCATATCTTTAATATTCTATGTCCTGGCACAACTTTTTAATATTCCTCTCTTCAATAACTCTGCAAGAGCCGGAGAGTTTCTCCCCAGAGTAATACTACCTCCTTTCACCTTAAAAAGAACTTCATCTGACTTCACACTGATCAAGGTCTTTCTCAAATTGGATGACACAGGTGATCATCACTGGCTTTCCCTCATCCCTCACAAAAACTAGTAGACCTAGGTCACACCAAAGTGCACTGTGTTGGTGCTTGAACCAACCTCTGTGGTCAAGTCTTGGCAGGAGATTCTTCTTGGTGCTGCTCACAGAGCTGTTGGTAGTGATGGCCGATGAGGCTTTGTTGAAGCTTCCACACAGTGTTCACACAAATGGTTCATTACTTGAGTGGGACATCTAGTGGTGAAGAAATTGAAGTGGAGTCGAGACGTGTCGCTTATTGGTTCATGGATTGTTTGGGATTTGATTCTCCATGCACATTCCTGTTCCACTACACTACATGGTTGTATGATTTCAAGCTGACACAATAAAATATTAAATAAACATGGACTCATGTTGAAGACCATGTTTCTCATGTGGCACGTCTGACTGTAACCCTATATGCTCCTCACTTATATTTTGTGTTATGAAAACATTTAAATGATGCTGCTACATTCATGAGATGTGCTCTACAGATTCAGATAGATGTCATTTTCACATGGGACTGGTGCAAATACAGATTATAGTATGAACCTTGGCAAGGTGTGTTTTGGGGTTCATTGGTAAAGAGGTTCATGGTACGTGGGTAAAGAGGGTGTGCTTGTGTAACTGTTTGAGTTTTTATTGAGAAATAACAGTAAATCCACAGTGTTCGGACACAAGTGGTTTGTCCTTTTACAGACTATTTCCCCAGCCTTGGAAAAAACCTTTTCACATGGCACAGATGAGGCCGGGGTACACAGGAAATGCTTGGCTAATTCATAGAGGTTTGGGTAACTATATATGCAATATTTATATATGTAATATATCTATATCTAATGTTATTTAGGACTATCTATGTAACTATATCTAGTGTTATTTAACTATGTAACTACTTTATCTATTTCTCTCTAACTTACTATCTGTCTATCTATTGATCTATCTCTGTATCTACACTGATTCTCCACTAAATACACAATCTGCTACAACACTACTAACTCTAAAAGCAACAAACCAACCTGCTCTACAAAGACAGATTCAAATGAAAACCACTAAATAGGGATGTCCTGTCTCTGAACACACTCGATCCAACATGACAAACCGAACCAATCAGCTGATTCACATGACTCAAGTGATTCAAATGTCACTAGTCACGTGACCGAAACACGCCTCGGCACAGTGGTTCGAAACAATTGCTTTATGAGCTAAAGTGTTGTGAATGATTGGTTAAAAATGTGTCATGACAAATCACCCAGATGTTAAAGCTATATTTTAAATGTCCACAGCTGTAATAGTTCTATTTAGATGACTTGAGAGTTCCCAGCTGTATAGATATTTCATCTGAATCTGAAATACATACAGAATGCAGTGGGGATTTAAGAACATCTTACAGATATGATTGTCAAGTTAAAAGTTTTACTTTAAGCAGGGAATATTGTGCAATGTTGCTCAGAATGTTAAATCATTAAAATATACTCAGTTTGGCTGAGAAAAGACATTTTTCATAGTAGTTCACAAAAAATCGTTCATCGGTTTCACACATAACTGTTGTGAACGTTGTCTGTAAAGTGTGCAATACAGTCATTGTGGACAGAAACCAGACAATGTGCAAAAGAAGCTACAGTATATGCACCAGCAGCTAAAATAACATTTTCTTTTTATATTAACATCTCATTGTGTTTACAGATTTCCAGTACTCAAAGATGCCACGTTGCAGGATTCCTTCCTGAATAAATTAAGTCCTCCTGAAGGGAAATCAATCGACCCCTGAACGCACCCTGTGTAACTGTTATAATATTGGGTCTTAGTTGAAGACAAGCAAAGTTGTATTGAAAAACACAACCAAAAATTGTGAATAATGTCTGTCAGATAGTGTATCCATCACACGCTATAAACTCATGTTTTAGTCTGTCATGTAGCATGCAGAAGGGGGGGAGAGGAGGAGGGAGGAGGGATTCAAGGGAGCCAGATGATGCTGACAGTAGAGGAGGATCCGCCGGTAGCAGCTGCGCACCGAGCTGCTCACTATCCCATGTGTTTGGGCTCAGATCCAGACATGTGCTGCTAGAACAGACCTCTGTGGGACCTTGTCTTCTTTTAAATCAAACAATTCTGTTACGAAAAGACAAACGTTGGGATATTTGATCGCTCTTTTCCTGAAACTACCTCCCTGCTCATCATCCGCGCAGATGGAGGGATGCGAGGAGGACAGGGGCGCACACATGCAAACAGAGGTAAACCGGCAAAAACATAAAAGGGCTCAGTTGTGTCTCTCTGGTCCATTTTTCTCTGCATGAAACCAGCATGGTAAGCGATCCGTTCCAGCGTCTCTGGTGCTTCACTGGGGCTTTGTGCATGCTAAATTTGGCCGGTAGGAATTCGCCGGCCGGCTTCTGCAGATCGGACCCCTCCCTAAATCTGTCGCTTCCCTCGCCATTAAGCGGTGAGATGTTACTATAAATTTACATTACAGCTACATCTTCTGTCGGTTTCATGGGGAAGTTGCAGGATATCTAAACGTATTTAAATCTTTTTAGAGAGGAATGTGCTGATTATAAAGTGCCCTTCCGTCTTATTTTGAAGCCGTGATGTCGAATTTTAATGTGAAATAGCCAAGGACAAAACCCTCAGGTTTGAACAGATAGTTTGCAGAAATTGTGTATGAATCTGTCTCTTGATGGTTCACTGATTTCGTCTGAAATCCCAAACCTCGGCCCCACTCTCAGCTGCCTCCAATCTGTTTTCTAAGGTTTTACCCTAAACCAGTGCATGGAGCAGCTACAGTGGGAAGTGAATCCCAGACCTCTAATACCTTGCTGTACACAGGAAATTGAATGCATCACCTGGTTGGTGTTTTGTAGCTCCACCCTTTGACCTCCAAGGACAAAACCAAACCTCTAAACTTGTCAGTGCTTGTCATGGTGTATTGGGAACTGAACCCCCAGTCTTCAAAGTGTCTCAGTGCCTTGCTCTGCTCATTGGCCTACATTTATGGAAACTGACCTCTTTGATACCTTTGCTTTATACTGGGAATTTCAAACCATTACCCCTTGCCCCAGACAATTTTAACATCTTTCTTAATTAGAGCATTAATGGGTAAGTGATAGCTCAACCTTCACAGGGTTTGTTGGTACCTCACACCCTGGGTGACACTTCAGGATTCAAGATTTTTATTTGCCATTTATGCATAAACACACAGTCTAGGCATATAGGAATTCTTGTGCAGGGCTCTCCTGGAGTCAAGTAAAGAGTTTAAAGCCAAAAGAATGAACACCTGTTCTTAATATAAGAATACCCAAGAATACAAAATAGTTGCTAAAACTGTGGCTACAGGAATAAGATAGCAGGCAAAATGGGGAGTTTCAAATATTGCACATAGTGTAATTGTATATGGTCTTCTACTTAGTAGGGTACTGAGGGGCTATTGCACAGGTTTTCCACATTTCGTATTTGCCATCAGTCTTACTGCGTCAGGGAAAAAGCTGTTGTAAAGTCTAGTTCTGTGTGTGATGATACTGTCTGCCCTGCCTGAGGCTCCGACAGCCCCCGGCTCTTGGTGGGTGGCCTTCTGCCTTGGTGTGAGTGGATAGAAGAGAGAGATGAAAATAAAAGCAACAAGACACAACAAACAATACAACGTACCCCTAACCTCTTAACGTCATGTTCTTGGTAACCCTAGTGTCTTGCTTCATGCAAGGATTAAATGGGGAACTGAACCCTCAAACTTTAGTGTTTGTTAGTGCTGACTTACAAACATGGGATTAAACTTGCTCAATCGATGCCACACAAACTCTCACCAAATAAAAATAACAATCAGTTTGTTTAGAATATGGAAAGAAACTGTGCTTGAAAGGACAGGATTACCAAAATCCATTCTTGTTAAGTTTCGCCCGCACACGGAGGTGAGGGAGCGAAAAGAAAGAGGCGGACCCAGGTAGCCGACTGCGGTTCCAGCAGTGATTTATTAAT